TCATACCAACGACCATTCCAATGGCTCTTACATAGAATAGAATTGAATTTTACTACTAATGCAAGATATGCTGAAGAAATCTTTACAAACAAAAAGCATAAAAACACTGACCATATATTTATTTGAAATAGGGGTGTTTTTGCATATTTTGAAAATTCCAATTTAGGCCCAAGTGTGGAGGGGTATAACATTTATGGTAACACATTGAATGATTTGTCCTGGCAAACCCATGTTGATTGGATAAATTGGACAATAAAGTTTGGGCAATGTAAGCCTGTTAAAGCTGTGTTGTCAGAAAAGTTTGTAGTTTTGCCTTTCTGACATAATGGTTATCACTGCTTACATTTTGAGGCAGGCACATAAAAATTGCATCGAGTTCAAATTTTTATCAAATCAAATAATCGAAACTTATTTTGTATAATATTTCATTTATTTTTAATTATTATTTTAAGATTTTAGCAATTAAATGCAATTTTATATTTTTTACTCTGGAACATCATAAAAGTGGCATTCCACAGCTCTTATATAGAGAATAGAGTAATTAAATTTCAACTTAAAAATTTACTGCTAATAATGCAAAAAAAAAATGAATTTCAACTTAAAAATTTTACTGCTAATAATGCAAAAAAAAAAAAAATGAACCATGCCATTTATTTAAAATAGGGGTGTTTTTGCATCGGCCTATTAAAAAATTCCAATTTAGGCACAAGCTTTATAGCATTGTTTTTGCAAAAGTTGATTGAAGATCACATAAATGAAAGAGATACAAAACACTGGCCTGCACCTTCTCTCCACCAAAAATTATATATAAAAAATTAAAACAAAATAAAGAAAAAGAAAATTGCATTCAAGTTTAAGTTTAAAAGTGCCAGTGTTGGCCACCTTGAGATGTCATAGACATAACATTTTAAACTTCAGCTCAGCCCCAACCACGGGGTTGCGGTTGTATAACTTCCCATCTCTAAAATCCTCTCGGCACCTCCCCCATCCCCGGCCTCTATTTTGAATGCCTGGTAAAAAAATGTTCGTCATCTGTGTATTGTAAGAGGCAATAAAAATTGGAGCGGTGATCTCATGTCCATTGTGTATAGATATTCTTGGGCAGAATACGCAAAAATCTCATTTGAGAAGCAACTCAGTGGGACCACTTGCATTTCTCTCCGATCATACAAAAATCTGCATAGACATTATACATTTTTTGCCAAAAAGTGGGGAGGGGGAAAGAAATTTGTCTCGGTTCTTTTTATGTTACTGATTGTCTTGAGTGAGTAGAGTATGATACAACTTCCAAAGTGCTATATAAGCCATACAGTACTTCTTATTTCTTAAAAAGAATAAAAAAATGAAAGAATAAACCATACTGGTTTCTTTTGAGTTTGTATCATGCTAATGTAGGCTCTTGTTAAATTACCAGTACTGTAATACTGAAGTAGTTTTTTTTTTATCTTTGCCTAACTCAAAAAATTACTGATCTTTATATATACATTTTTTTAATGTATGGCCTCTCAAATCAATTAAAGAACACCTGTAAATGTCTAGAATGCTGGACCTTCCGGGGGCTCCAACCCCTGGACCCCCACCGGGGCTTCGATCCTGGACCCCTCCGGGGCTCCTTGGCCCTCACCCAATGGTGCTCGCTTCACTTGCAAGTGCCCTTCCAGTATCAAAAAGAACCCCCTATCAAAATCCTGGCTACGGGCTTGAACTCTAGATGTCTCTCTATTATAAACTCAATAAAAGCTAATTACTGTACATGGAAGTTACTTGGATGATTAACATGGTCTATAAAGTAGCAAAGTTGATGAGTAACAAACCTTATGAACATTAATCCTTATAAAATATTATATAATAATAATAGTGGCCCAGGCAAATTAGCTACCTAATTTTATTTTGGTGAAGCTTTTGACATAAATATTTGATTGGCAATGAATTATTGTCGATTACTAAATTTTATTTGTTGCAAACTCAAATTACATGGATCTAATAATCCAACAACATACACAACAACACACAAAATGGCTCAGACGATAATAACAATGTACAATAAGAACAATCCAAGATTTTTTTTTTTTTTTAAGGAAAACAGTTTTAACAACAATATAAACCAAACCAGATGAAAATATTCAAATATTTGGGAAAAAATACAGTATTTCTGTTCAGTCCTCAAATTGCATCTTATATTCCCTGAGGGCATTAGGACTAACATCATACAAAAAAATAAATAAAAGAAAAAAAGCAGTACAGAAAAATACAGGACTTAAAAAATAAGCATTTTAATGCCAAGAATTATTTTTAAAAAAAAATCAGTAAAAGAATTTATAGCAGTACAAGTCAAACAATAAAAAAGAAAGCACAAGCTTAGACACTAATAATTGACACTAATGATTGTCCTTATTAATTCACAAATGATGCAATAATTTAAGAGGCCAGTAACAAATACAATTCGTCAGACGTTGCATGATCATGGTTTTCCAGTCAGTGTTTCATTCATAATTTGGACCATATCAGCACAAGATTAAATTAGTAGCAAGACCATTTATGATGAACATAAGAGCTTGACCAATATAATAATATAGTACACAAAGAAATCATGATTTTTCTCTTTATTTTACAATGCATCTTAAATTGAATTTTAACACGTTGGCTGCCAGCAATGAGTATACAAGCCCACAGGGGTGTTGCTGAGGGTGCCCGAGACACTGCTATACTCCTCAAAATTGGGGTAACACTCTAGCATTTATAACTTCTCTGTTATACATTGTAGGAGCACAGACTCAACAGCTGGTAGTTCGGGACAATAACCTACATATGACATACGTATGTTTGTTTGGTTATTTTGCCGTTAGTACACTTCGAGCGGCACAAGTGGGGGCGCCCTTTGAACATATACCAACCCATGCAACTCGCACTTGGCATAGTCAATAAAAAGTGCTATCACAGTGCCGTCGGCGAGTTTACTCGCCCCCTTAATGTTTTTCCCGCCAATTTATTATACACATCATTTTGATGATTATATGACTAGTTAAAAATTTCAAAAAAGTATGATTGTACATGTAAACTTGTTTTGGCACAAAGGAAGGAACCTGTATTAAACTATTTTACCAAGCAAAATTACATGAATCATCTAAAGTTGTCGCCAATCTGTGCCCTTAATTAATGTCCGCATGTATTCTCTTCAGAATAAAAAAATATTTACAATGTACAGTAGTTTCTGTAAAAATGTTTCAGGTTGAGATAACTTAACATAAATACTATACCTTGTTATGAGATTGAAATAAACCAATACTTAACAATTTTACAGCATCTTGAGTTTTATGAATGCATCCAATCTTGAATAATATCCATGTGAATGAATATTAATCCCAAATCTCATGAGTCTATCCAATCTGTGCCCTTAATTAATGTCCGCATGTATTCTCTTCAGAATAAAAAATATTTACAATGTACAGTAGTTTCTGTGAAAATGTTTCAGATTGTGATAACTTAACATGCATAGGATACCCTTGTTATGAGATTAAACTAACCAATACTTAACAATTTTACAGCATCTTGAGTTTTATGAATGCATCCAATCTTGAATAATATCCATGAGATTGAATATTAATCCCAATTATCTGAGTCAATCCAATCCGGTCTTAATCCCAATTAAATAAGATGATCCATCTTAATCCCAATTTCTTGAGTTGACCCATACTCATGTTAATGAGACTATTATACCCCTTTCAGACAGACCTGCAAAACGGTATTAATACCGTATTACTCGAACGCCGGCGTTCTGTGTGAAAGGGTAAATACGCCTAAACGCCGGCTTCAGTTAGACCTCCTCGGGACCTAGTCTTAATACCGCATTAATACTGTAGCAAGTTTTGCCCAACTCGATGTGAAAGGGTACAGGGTTCATCGCCGTCTTACGCACTGAGGCATAACAAATCAGACGGTCACATGAGCAGCCATCAACCGCTGCTGCAGCTAACAAAACCAATGAAATCGCTAGCTGACGGTTCTTTTAGACGCGAAAATCGCCTGCACCTAGCTGTTCGAAATTCAAGCCGGCCTCGCCTTAAACGCTTCCTAAATTCTTTCTTCCCTTGAACGAAACGCATTAGAAACCTTCTGTTTCTCAATTTATGTATTGCAAACATAGCAAGCATTAAAAAGCATTTGCAAAGCAGCAGTTTTATGACTTCATCCCCAGCCATATTGGATTAATTGAGTAAACAAAAACAAGTTAACAAGCATATAAGCGCCAACAGACATCAAATACTCCTTTCCGCGAGAACCCTTTCAGACAGGATACGGTATTATTACCATATTTTTACTAGCTGTGTGAAAGGGTCTGCGCCGGCAATACGGCGGCGTGAGTATACAAGCCCACAGGGGTGTTGCTGAGGGTGCCCGAGACACTGCTATACTCGTCAAAATCGGGGTAACACTCTAGCATTTATAACTTCTCTGTTATACATTGTAGGAGCACAGGCTCAACAGCTGGTAGTTCAGGACAATAACCTACATATGACATACGTATGTTTGTTGGAATATTTTGCCGTTAGTACACTTCGAGCGGCACAAGTGGGGGTGCCCTTTGAACATATACCAACCCATGCAACTCGCACTTGGCATAGTCAATAAAAAGTGCTATCACAGTGCCGTCGGCGAGTTTACTCGCCCCCTTAATGTTTTTCCCGCCAATTTATTACACACATCATTTTGATGATTATATCATCATATCATCGCCGTCTTACGCACTGAGGCATAACAAATCAGACGGTCACACGAGCAGCCATCAACCGCTGCTGCAGCTAACAAAACCGATGAAATCGCTAGCTGACGGTTCTTTTAGACGCGAAAATCACCTGCACCTAGCTGCTCGAAATTCAAGCCGGCCTCGCCTTAAAAACGGCGTGATTAGGGTATTATCGCGGTATTTTCTGTCTGAAAGGGGCTTTAGAAACTATCCGATCTTAATCCCCTTGCTCAATGTATCCATCCAATCTTAATCCAACAGATCCATATAATCTTAATCCAACAGATCCATATAATTTTAATCCCACAGTTTAATGAGTCCATCCCATCCACATGTAATAACTTTTGATGTTTCGTGTGGATGCCATATACAGCCTATTGAGACACCGTCGTGGGCTTTGAATTTGTTAAACAGTTTTGTAGTCTTCCAGTCCCAGATGTTCAAACGACCATCAGCATCCCCAGAAACAACATAGCTGATTGAGAAAAAAAAATATATATATTATTCTATATAGCATGTCATTACTATCAACTAATAACTGTTTTGTATTGGTCTCTTATACACAATATATATATATATATATACAGTATATATATTATGTAAAAAATTAAAATCCAATTCGGCTTTGTTCAAACAAAGAGTAATCTTTTCATATTTTCTTAATAAAGAAACTGGGAATCTTCTTGAACTGAAATCCTTGATGATAGAACCAAATGGATGTATGTTGACAAAAAATACAAGGCATTTTAAAAATAACACAAAAGTTTTAATGGAAGACATGTTTCGGTTTACCTTCAACCCATCATCAGTTAACAAAAAACACAACAGAAATGAACCAAATACTTTTCATGTAGACTGATGATGTTTATATGTCCTTTACATCTGTAGGTCTACAGATGACATGGATCAATCTGCAATCACTGGAGCTGATAATTTCCAACAGATTTCATAGCACATTATTAAAAATCAACAGTTAGAAGAGCGGGCAAAAAAAAAAATGTAATGCATACTAGGCCTGCAGCATTTCGCGATAATTAGGAAAGATTTTAATGAATAATAGGTTTTAAAAAGTGGACTTTTTGGAATTTGGTGGTCCAGGGGCAGAGATTTGGCAGGGGTTTTTGAGAAAAGCCCCAGGAGGCTCCGACAAAGTAGCATTTTAAGGGTCTTACATAATGGATTTCTCAAGCACAAAATTCGTGAATATTTTATCTAAATTTTCATTAACTTAGGTTTTTTTTTTAGGGTGGGGGGGGTGCTGAAGAAGTAACGTTATTATGTCATGTACATCTGCTGGCCTACAGATAACATTGTTCATATTATAGATCAATCTGCAGTCACCGGAGACAATAAATTTCCAACAAATTTCATATATTTAAAAACAACGGCTGGATGTGCTGGCAAATATATAATGCAATGCATGCTAGAGCATTTTGCGATAATTAGGAACGATTTTGTGAAATAATTTGTTTTAAAAAGTGGACCTTTTGGAATTTTGGGGGGGGGGGGGGGGCCACCTACTTGCAGTGAAGTAAATTATGGGTTCTACTAATGGGTTCAAGTCCCACCAGAAAACTTGCAAATATTTGTTCGTACTAAGTATTAAGTACAGTATGTCATTCTCACAACAGGTTGGGCAAATTACACATATAATTGGTTCTAATGGCGCAAATCCAGGTAATGTCTATTCCACCTTGATAACAATTACCATTCAAATGCAATTCAATTACCCTAATAGAACAATCATCGACCTACTTGTGAAGTGAATCTAAAACGTATTCATGAATTTATGAAGTAGTGTTTAAAAATGTACACAGTAATAGTTAACCAACTTTAAAAACCAAACAAAACTGTACATGCAAACATTTGACTGGTATTTCCTCAAAATATGATTTCAAAAAGTAGTTTAATAGTGCATCGTACTGTACAAAGACAATAAAAATTACCACTCAACAATAGAACAATCATCGACCTACCTTCAATGAAGTGAATCTAAAATGTATTCATGAAGTTATGATGATCTGAAGTGTTTAAAAACGTACACAATAATAGTTGAACTAACTTTAAAATACCACAAATACAAATGTGCGTGATGATATTTTATTGCTTTAGAAATGTGATTTCAAAAAGTGTATTAGTGAATCACGCACTGAGTATTCAATACATTTTCACGACAGGTTGGGCCAAATACATATAGGCCCATAATTGATTCTCATGACGCAAATCCAGGTACTGTCTATTCCACCACGATGATAACAATTACCATTCAATAATAGAACAGTCATCGACCTACTTGCCGTGAACTGAATCTAAAATATATTCATAAAGTTATGATGATCTGAAGTGTTTAAAAACGTACACAATAATAGTTGAACCAACTTTAAAATACTGTACCACAAACACAAAATGTGCGTGACAATATTGTATTGCTTTAGAAATGTGATTTCAAAAAGTATATTAGTCCATTGTATACGCAAGGTCTTGTATTGTTGTTTTTTTTTTTTTTACTTGGAGCGTTTGGGAAATAGGTAGGCCTAATAGGTAAATTGTAATGAATATAATCAATAGCTATAGCCTCTAAAACCTAATATTATTGAAGGGTCCTTTTAAAGTTTGAATAGGATTTTTTTAAAGTTAAATTTTTAGATCATTATACTTATTGAATGAGCCCCTAATAGCCCCGGGCCCCAGTGCTGTGCACTGCCCATACCTACGCCAATGGATCAGAGTATTATTAGTGGTTACGTAACGTTTGCTATGCACTGCATCATGCGCTATAGAAGTGGAAGACCATAATGTATTGAAAATGTACCTCTCTGGTAGGGCATATGAATTTTTAGATCTTGGCTAGATCGGTGGTCTAGTAGGCTTTATTTAGTGACACTTAAAGAAAAAAAAAATTTGTTAGGCAGGATGCCCACCGTTAAAAATGGAAATACAGAGCGGTAGTAAATACTGTAACATAGCAATTCCAAAACATACATAGTTTGATTCAAAAATAATAGTTGAACCAACTTTAAAATACCACAAACAAAAACGTGTGTGACGATATTTAATTGCTAGATGAATTCAAAAAGTAATAAAGACCATAATGTATTGAAAATGTACCTCTCTGGTAGGGCCTACAGTACAATCAGTGTAAAAGTGTAAGATATAGGATAGAGTGGATTTAAACATTGCCCTAATGGTAATGTTCAATATAAGTGTCAAGGAAAGAAAGTATGAATGTTGGAAAAATGGTCAACATTTTATTATTATTTCTCACCCTGACCTTCACCTGGGCGAACTGGGCAAAGGTCTGGATCCGCGTCTGAATTATTGAATCAATTGTTTTCATGATATGATATAAAAACAAAATGTTAACTTTGTAAATTTGACAAACAAACTGTCTATAATATAAACAAGATTATTAAAAGAAAAAATTACTTGGGTAAATTCAATCCAACATGGTAACAATTTTGGGAACGTGTGCAAACACATAAAAATTTACCCCAAACTGTCTTTTTTTTTCCTTACAAATTATTATAACTTCATGGTAGCATAAATAATATAGACAATAATGATAATAATAAATGGTACTGTAATTTTAATTTTTGCCATTGTGAGAGACTACTTAAGTATTATTATGTATTTAAAGTACTTTAGTCCACAGATGGGCCTATACATGTACAGTAGTAGCATATGGTTGTATCATGGAGGAAATAATTAAGAAATTATTTCCTCCATGGGTGTACAGTATACAGTTCTACCAAATTTAATATCTAAGAATTTACACCACACAGACATAACATGGTATCAGATTGTCTTACTGTACAAAATATCTGTGGTTTGGATAGAAGGTCACTTCTGTTAACATTGCTGCTGTGTAACACCTATTCAGTCCTGAAGCCTATACTATATACAGTATATGTCCGGTCTCACTACAAAATGAGTCTCATCGTTAGAAAATCAAAAAAATGAGTTTATATTATATTTTGATAGATCACATTATAACTTATAAGCTTTAATTTGATCTTTGAGTGGCTTCCCTAGGATAAATAGATCCAGAGATGTTAGCATTTAAAGTTTAGCTGTATGAGAACCAGGTTTAAAGATAAACTAACCTGTACAAATAATAGGACTAGGATTACAGAATATGCGAAGAGAACACTGTTTTAGTAATAAAATTCACTTAAAAACTACACAATCATAAAATATAAGTATTAAATAATTCAAAAACATTAAAATCAAAATTTTGTCAAAATGTTGCCTTTGACCTATTTTGGTGAATATCTCAATATGATTTCACCAACGATGCATCTCATTTCGTGGGGAGACCTCACATATATTCTGTACCAATATTCATTTTACTTTTTGTTGATGATTTCTGCGAGTAATCTTCACTTTATTACATTTCAATTTACTGTAGGTATGATTTCAATCGATTACTGTTTAAAGCGTGTTAGGAACTAATTACTAATATTGCTGATATTGAAGTACTGCAGTACTGTAAGGGTGTTTAGTTTTGAAAGCCCACAATGTGGAAATACAGTATTATGTTATGTAGATTTAATAGTGATTCAAGTCTTACCTCCTGAACAAGGAAATAGGCTCTTTTGTAATAAGCTCATTTTTGTGATCATTTGCAGGAAGCTTGAGCACATGAATTGTTACCATATTCCCGGTGATACAGTGTTTTGCGTCTCATTCATATTTTAAGTTAATAATAGTTAAATATATAAATAGTTAAAATGCTAATAACGCTAAATCAGGATACACAGAAGTACTGGATACATTAATATAAATAACCCTATTCAATTAAATATCTGTCCAAACTCATATGTACATGGTAACTTTAAAATAAATTGCGTTCTTTGTTTATGGTAAATATACTGTATATCGGTTTTGTTGTATTCATTTCAGTCTAATTGCATCTTATACCCAGACTCGGTTTATTTAATCAATCAGCTAATAAATTTTCATGATGACCACTTTTGAAACAGGTCCAGTATTGAATTTATTTTAATGCAGGCACGTTTGATCAACTTCAATATTTACATTCTGACAACCACAACAGGCTTTACAGCACTATAACAAAACATTCTGTTTTTTATTAAACTATAATATACTTCTTATTATCCAGGTAACAATACTACAAAAATTTAATATACATCATCGAATACATATTAAATTATGAGATACTGTATAAGCATATTCACTGAATTGATCATGACACCCATACATGTTTGAAATGGTATCATAAAAAGTTTAATGAGCTTGTTCTTCACCTACACGAATACTGTAATATAGGTTGTTATATTATTAATTACACAAACATCTTTCCTATTCTATTCAAGAATATAATTAATTACACATTGAGCTGTTATACATTGTGTTCTTTATAGGAACATATAGCATCATTCAAGGTGGCAACAAAGACAAAAGCTGTGGTAGTAACTAAACATCTTTCGCCATTAAAATGAGGAATATCTGAACAACAGCGAAGGTATACTATATTTTGAAATTCAAAGATTTTTGTATTTTTAATTCTTGTGGGAAGAGTCGGAAGAGTCAGAATATCTGCCTTTGGTAGAACACTGCATCAGTACCATTGGGGAAGATCATGGGGGGGACACGCACCCCCCATATATTTCAAGGGGGTTGGTTCCCTCACTTTTCGTCCGCAATGTAATTTCATAAAGGCAAGAAGATGTCTGAAAATTATTTAAGTATACTGCATAAATGACCCAGGTTTTAACGAAACAGCGCTGTACAGCCAGAGTACACCTTATTTTATAGCAAGACACCAGTATCTTTGTCCACACACATCTGAATTACCTATAATACACGACACGAGTGCATGTATGAGAAAAACCATGTAGAGATAAGATTGGTTTTCAGCCCATGAAATAGGTGAAGTAAATTCAGTGAATTTGTACTATTTCCCCAAATATTCCCACCTCAGTCCTAACTATGACTGAGATGGGCAGCCCTCAAAATTAGGAAAAAAGTATGTCGGCAAAAAAAAAATTTTAAATTGCCGGCGCTATAAAATTGACGCCGGTTATAACATCAGCAGTTTGTAGTTTCAGCTACACACCTAAAATCAACCAATGCTGACCTGTTATGGCAGTGATGGATGTCTTTTCAAGTCACCAAATCAAGCTGGAAAGCCTAGCCTATGTACTAATGTTCAAATTCACAACTAATTGTTGATGAACAGTGTTAATGTTATAATGGTGAATAATATAAAACTACAAAAAAAAAAAAAAAAAAAAATATACAGTGGAATCTCCGAATTTCGAATGCCCAGAAAGCAGAATTTTACGCTAAACCAAATTTGTTTAAGTTTTAAAACCATTCCTATTCTTCTATAAAATACGTTCCGAAAACCTGATCTCCCTATTCCAAAGTCCGGATATTTTATTTGGTACAGAATATAATTTCAATAAAAATCAACTTTTCCCAGATGAAAATAATGCAATAATCATCCCTGTCTAATAATTAACAGGCCTACAGTAGCTCACACGACAAAAAAAAAAAAAAAAGAAAAAGAAAAATGTCCTCTGGCCTAATCCTATAAAAATTGATTGCAATCAACCTGAAGACGGAACTCAAAGCAAGTTTTTACGACGGCTGACTCTTTTTCATTAGACGTTTAATTCGAATATGTTGGATGTCGTAGAAGTAGATTCATCAGTGTAAATTACAATCCCATTGCTTCACTCATTCCTTAAAAGCATGTTGCTAATTACGGAGGAATGTATAGTTAATATTTATTTAGATTTGACTGTAAAACAAAACCAAGAAGACAACAATGATAAATATGTGCTGAATATGAAGATGATGATTAAGCCTACAACGAAAAATATTTTTTAATGACCTATAATGGCTGGAATAGGCCTATCCTGCTGGACGATAGGTGATGCAACAGTGTTATGCGTGTCAGTCTGAATAAAAGCTGGCATCAACTGCCAGTGAAACTTTGTGTTAAATTACATCTTTCAAAGTTAAGCCACAGAGGAAAAAAAATGATGAAGCTAATTAACTGAGCGGCGATAGCTCCAGCATTCTGCATTTCTTTAAATATCAATAAATATCTACCATGACTTTGTTCTACCTCATATCTGGTGAGAAGCCCATCTGGCATGCATATCCTGCGACCATGTGACCTTTGAAGTTCTTCTTACGGTTCAGACGCAATCGATTCTGTGCACCGTATATGAGAATCTGGTTGTCCATCGATTGGAAGCCTAACCACTTACCTATATACATAAAATAAAACAAGCATTTTTTCTTTTTTTTCTTTATTAATCAATCAGCTACTCTACAGACAGAAAACTTGGATTGGATAAGTATTGCAAAACTAAATGACGACAGAGGGCAATAAAAACAAAACAGTTAATAAAAAGTTGATAAACAATAAACAATTGAGGCATGTTGTGGCGAAATGGTTAAGTTGTCGCACAGTCCAGTATTGAGTAAATTAGCTATAAAATATGGGAGCTCAAAAAATTGCCTAAAAATCCAAATTTGTTTTTCACTATAGATCAACAGTTTAATGTCTTATTAATTATGTCCCAAAGTATTAGTTCTGTAAGTGGTTAACAAATTGTTTATTTAACGTTATTTTTCATAGTTCATTCTATTAAACAATGTATGCACAAATAACTTTGAAAGGCAATTACTCAAAATCCTGTTTATCTTGACTCTAAGAGTAACTGTACTTTCACTTTCCAATAACTTAGGATTGAAATGTCCAATTTGAATGAATAACCCCTCATTTTAAAAATCACATACTCAGGTATCTGAAAATACCAATAACTTGAATTTCAATTTTTGCTACAACTTAGCCATATGGAACTCGCATACTTAACATTTTAATATACTGTAAATTTCTTTTTATCTATTTTTTTTTTTTAATTTGACAAATTTAGAGGGCCAGAGACAACAGGTCCCCCTTTAATCCACCACTGGATAAAATATGATTATAAATAAATTCTTCATTCTTTGTTAGAATTTCGAAAACAAAATTGAAGTTTAAAAAGGCAGAAACCAATCAATAAAAAACAACATAAGGAAACACAGAAACAACGGCAGCAATACATTCAGAATAAAAACAGTGTAAAGTTAAAAATATAATACACATGACAAATAAAAAGATGGCAAATAAGTAAAAACCCTTTTCTCCCTAAACTATTAAATTAATTAAAATCCCATGTAAAAAACTAATAACAATTAAAGGCCTATACATTCCAATTTATTTATTGAAATACAAAAATACAGGGGAAAAATATGACTTAACATAAAAATAAAATTAATAATTATATACAGTACAATAATTTTCTGAATTTATGAGATAAATGGAAATAGTAATTACTTATGTACATTGCAATTTATATAATTAAGTTAAAATACAAAAATACAGGGGAATATACAATTTAATATATATAATTTAATTTATAATAATTTAAAAATTACGTATGTCTTACAGTAGATGTTAGATACAGATAATATGTATCCAGCAAAACTCTTTTGAACCCACACAAAATAGAAATAGTAATTACTTTATATGTACATTGCAATTTAAATAATTAAGTTAAAATACAAAAATACAGGGGAATATACAATTTAATATAATTTAATTTATAATAATAGAGTTGTATTAAGTTTTTTAATTTAAAAATTATGTATGTCCTACAGTAGATGTCAGATACAGATAATATATATCCAACAAAACTCTTTTAGATCAAAGTGCTGAATCAAGGGCCCTATTGGGGGACCACTGCACTATAGTGGAATCTAGTTTGAAGAGTCATGGCAGACAGGGGACTTCTGTCCACATCCAATGGGTTAAGCCCCTCCTTCTCTTCCTACACCACTGGTGACGGTGCTGAGAGAAGTAATAAGTTACTAACATTATAACTTACCATTGGGACTGAGCGTCACGCTAGGCATTGGGTACATATTTGGTTCTGCAATGTATTTGAAATCCACCGGGATATCCCATTCCCAAAGCCGGATGCTTTTGTCATCCGATGTCGTCACAAAACGTCGATTCTGGTCAATGAAGGTGATCGTGTTGACCGCACCAAGATGCCGGTCGTACTCCTGCACAATCTCGTTTGCTCGTGTATCCCACTGTGGAGGTATTATGAGAAAGCAGGAATATTGATACCAATTGATCAAAAGCTGACTGAGACAAAAAATAACGCTAACAGTGACACTGATTATGGAAACAAAAAGTAGTGTTTTATTATGAAATGTAAGCAATTCATCAGTTGTCTCTAAGGCTAAGTATTAGTAAGTAGTAGAGAATGGGATGCATGTAATTGTTTGTTTTTAACAACTACATACCCATCAGATCTTATGATAAATGTTCTTCTACACAGCCATGAGGAGAGGGGGAAATTTTTGTGACACCGTTAAAGCAAGGCTTCGGAGTATAAAAGAATTAACCATATGTGGCAAAGAAAAGCCAAACCAGTCACTCGTCGCAAAAATTGAATTTGAGTGATAAATGTACAGGGTTAAAGAGTAAAATAAGAGCTATAAAATGGTCAAAATATCATTCAAATCTGACATTTCCTTATGAGGTTACAAGCACTTAAACATACAGCTGTTTAAAGTCCAATAAGAGAAATCAGCCTTCAGCCTTCAAAGTTTATAATTTTGGGCATTTCAAATGCAGAAACTACAGTATCATCAAATCCTTAAAAAGTGTTGTTTTAACATTGAAAATGGGGAAAATAACAACATAGCATAATGTATAGATATATAAAGGTTAGTTAAGTGTAATAAAATAGATTTCAAAAAATTTGACATTCCAGCATGATTTGGCTATTTTCTCTGAAACACAATTTGCCTGACTGGTTTTGCTAGCCACAAATGCCACATATGCATTTTTAGGTCTTGGCTAGATCGGTGGTCTAGTAGGCTTTGTGTTTAACCAACACTGTTGAGCGAGATTTGTTATGTCAGCTGTGTGCGTTCAGAACATGGCTAGCAATCGAGCTTGTTGCATAAGAGAAGCAAAATAATCAAAGGCACAATTGAATTAGTGCTTGATCAGGGATAGGAAAATTACGTACATATGAAAGTAATGACATCACCGGTGTACTGGTACAAACAGCCCCTGTTGCGGGTGATGAATCCCCCAAATTTGACGGTTTATTTTTTCAAAAATGACTACTTGACATTGAAATTAAAGCGATTTTTGTTTTACTAAATGATCTTCTTTTTCTGTGCCACAGGGACAAAAAAATTAGTGGTCGATTTAAAAGGAATTCATAATAGAGTGAGCCCAAAGAGGGGTTTTCACAAATATTTTAAAGTTAATGGCACCTGTATAGTACATGGCTGGAAATGGCACTCTAAGGCTAGAATTTGAATACAATTCTCATTTTCTTCCTCATATTCATAGTGGGCAAATAATAAAATATTTGTTCTAATGAGGGTTCACCTATAAATACTGTTTTCTAGTCTCCAGACCTGATAAATCTACATCAACAGACTGTAAATGAGCACATAAATTGAATCGTTTTTTTGTGCAAACCTGCTCAAGAACCAATGCAACGTGACCCATAGTTTGGAAAGTGTGGGTATAAACTACAAAATATTATTTTTTATTAAAATATTATAAAATATTATATTATTAAGTCTGAATTTTAACCTTGGCTAAATTACTCAGTGTAAACATGCAATAAAATTATTAAAACGACCTTTGAATTATAAAATGTAATCACTACAAAAATATTACCAATGCTTTTGATTAAAAATCTATTTAAAAAGGTAGTGAAAGAAAAATTAGTAATCAATAAGAAGTACTATTGTACAGAACTGACTCATGGTTATTCATGGCAAAATTAATTGGTTTCTAAACCCCCAAAAATAACAGGCTGAAGATATTCTTTTTTAAAAGAATTTTTCATGTAGGTAAGTATTTATTGAGATATTAATTCAGAGATAGATTTATTATTTTCTATGTATTGTTATATAAAAAACCATATAACATGTTGAAATCTTTTATAGTCTTCATAAAAAATTAATGCTGTTTAATGAATTGAAATGCAAAGTATCAACTTCTTGTAGGAATATCTAAATTTCAATTTTAATAATGACGTTTCATTGTACTACATTTTATCTTCATAAAATGGAAACTGTAATGGCTAAATACTGGGCTAATTATTACAACAGGAATAAGTGAAGTACTTTTTTATTACCATAATGTTTGAAAAATGTATTGTCCCCTGAGAATGACAAAATATTATTTTAAAAGTTTCAAAATTAACTTGTTCATACAAATTATGAACTTGAGCAGAGAGATTATTGAATTTTAACCAGAACCCTGCGGGTGCGTACGTTCCTTTGTACGTAAAAAATCAATGTACATTTGTGAATTGCAATAACTTGATTGTATCTTTTTGAATAATGATTGTGCAAGGTAATACAGTTAAAAAAATCAGAGGCGGATCCAGAAATTTATGAAAGGGGGAGGGGGTAAGGGTTCTGAGAAGAGCAGGGATGTCGTTATGCAGGGCAGAGGTGGGCAGCGCTGCCCACTCTTGACGTCTTGCGCCCATCCTAAAGCTATTTTTAAGGCTTTCTGCCCAGCCTCATACAAATTCTTCCGCCCCCCCACCACCTTAAAATCATGAAGAAACACAAGTTTTTGCTCCATAAACCTTATTTTCGAGGTGAATAAGCCGCAAATTTAATACGCGATTTTCCCCTCGAAGTTTGGGGTGCGACCTATACACCGGTCGTTAACCTACTCCCAAAAAGTTAAGATCACGAACCGCAGCGAAAATCAGGCGCCGTCTGTCTAACTTGGGCCCATGCTCCTACTAACTAGCCTAGCCTTTGTTGAAGGGCTAGTATTTGTAATTATACTCACTATACAGTGCTGTACTGTGATTCCTACTACATTTTCTACGACAATCAAGCAATGGTTTGGGTTGTTTAAATAATTATTTTCATAGTTACTTTCACTCAAACAATTTTGAAACACGTTTTATTCGAAATCGCTTCACTCAAAACAATAAATAACCTTCTTTTCGGGAGTGTGCTCCTAGAGGTCACGTGAGCAGCTTCATTTATGACGTCGCAACAAAACACACATGGGCTGATGAAACTTTCAGTTCGACGTCTGGTTCCCAGTGGCTTGTACCGTTATAGAAAGAATACTGATACCGCTATATTTCAGAATAAAAGCTTGTGAAATTAATTTATGCAATAAAAACACGAGTTTTCTTGAAGTTGTAATAATTATTTTACTGGAAATTACTGGAAAGGCATACGTTCGTCCGTCTATCACATGCTGTATATGTGTATAGACGGTCAGTCCATCACATGCTGTGAATTTAGGTGTCCATAATTTTAAGGTTCTCCCCCACCCGAGACTGTCCATCAGGTGCTGTATTTTCTAACCATTATTTTCCCAAACATCATTTGATGAAGCCATGCTGTAAATTTATGTGTCCCGGCCATAATTTTAAGGTTCTCCACCACCCGGGACTGTCCATCAGATACATGCCACCATCACATGCTGTATATGTGTATAGACAGTCAGTCCATCACATGCTGTAAATTTATGTGTCCATAATTTTAAGGTTCTCCCCCACCCGAGACTGTCCATCAAATGCTGAATTTTCTAACCATTATTTTCCCAAACATCATTTGATAAAGCTATGCTGTAAATTTATGTGTCCATAATTTTAACGTTCTCCCCCACCCGGCATTGTAACCCCATAACAACCGCCTACTGATGACCAACTCACCCCCAACATCAGTCCATCACATCCCCCACCCCAAGATCAGTCCATCATATGCTGTATATTTATGTCCATTTGGGGGCCCCAGGTTTTCCCAAACATCATTTTGATAGATCTCCCAAGCCAAACATCATTTTGATAGACCTCCCAAGGTCCATCACATACTGTAGCCTGTTACTTAAGGTTCTCCTCACCCGGGACTGTCCATCACATGCTGCATAGAGACCTCTTCCATCACCAATGCCAGTCCATCACATGCTGTATATTTAAGTGTCTATAATTTTCCCCCACCTCCAGGTCCGAATTTCAAATGTTGTATATTTATGTCCATCCCCCATGACAATCTATCACATGCTGTATATTTATGTGTCCATAACTTCCGCCACCCCCAGGTCCGAATATCAGATGCTGTATACATATATCCATTATTTTCCAAAACATCATAGACCACCCAAGGACCATCACATTGTGTCCCACCCCCAATGTCACTCCATCACATGCTGTATATGTGTCCAATTTTCCCCATCCTAGGTCCGAATATCAGATGCTGTACATTTATGGCAATTGTTTTCCCAAATATAATGTGATAGAAGGTCAGTCCATCACATGCTGTAAATTTATGTGTCCATAATTTTAAGGTTCTTCCCCACCCGGGACTGTCCATCAGATGCTGTATTTTCTGACCATTATTTTCTTAAACATCATTTGATGAAGCTCTCTGCCCCCTCCCCCTCAACAACTAATGTTGTGATGAAATTTCCCCCACCCAAGCTCAGGTTCGTCCGTCCGTCTATCACATGCCTCCATCACTAATGTTTTGATGAAATCTCCCCCACCCACCCTCAGGTTCGATCGTCCATCTATCACACTGTCCATCAGTCTATCACACTGTCCATCAGATACATGCCTCCATCACATGCTGTATATGTGTATAGACGGTCAGTCCATCACATGCTGCAAATTTATGTGTCCATAATTTTAAGGTTCTCCCCCACCCGGGACTGTCCATCAGATGCTGTATTTTCTAACCATTATTTTCCCAAACATCATTTGATCAAGCTATGCTGTAAATTTGTGTGTCCATAATTTTAAGGTTCTCCCCTACCCGGGATGCTGTATTTTCTGACCATTATTTTCCCAAACATCATTTGATGAACTCCCGTCCCCCGCCATCCCTTAGGTTCGTCCGTCCATCACATGCTGCCCCCGCCAACCATTGGGTTCGTCCGTCCATCACATGCTGCATATTTATGTGTCCAGAATTTTTAACCATCATTTCTTGGAAAATAATTCCACAAATGTTGATTTTTATTGCTTGACGGTACGCTGGTGGTAGGCCAAGAAACCTACTTCGCGTAGGCCTAACGGTATAGTATATCAGATGTGTCTAGGCCTACACCAGTTCCGACGGTGTCGCCCAAAGAGAAGCCTACATTACGTATGTGTCTAGGCTAGGCCTAGGTACCCCAGGTCCGTCAATCTTAGCCGTTAAAGTATACTAAAACACTAATAGAACACACAGAACACCTTCAAATAATAGCACAAGTAAGTGGCCGATATGCCAAAAACTATCTCAGTTTGCTCAATGTTTACTGACATTCATGAAAACAACATAAAGAACTTTTATAGGCAGCTCGCGACAGAAACAAAATGTCGGGAAAGTTTGACCCGACGCATGCGCAAATCAAATTTTCGACTAAAAAACGACTCAAAACTGGTGGTAGGAGGTATATTTTTTATCGCCTACAGCTTACATTTTTCATCTAACCGAAAAAACAAACATTTCTTGCACAATTGCATGTCCACCAGCAACTATTGAGCACAATGTATACCTGCCGCTTTGCACCGTTTCGGAGCCTATTTGTTTACAGATATGCTGACCTCTTTTGGTGTCACATCTCATACACACATTTAACATGTGAACCATTACATTAGTTCCATGTGACCTAAGGTCACAAAGGAACTAAAAATGAGTACAATGAATTTTATACTGAATAAATATAGCAGCAGTAGCAGCAACAATTATACAAGGATGTAGTTATGGTGGGCAGAGGTCGGAGGGCTCCCAGCCTTGACGTTTTCTGCTCAACCTAAAGCCAATTTTATGGTTCACCATGACCCACCTGTATTATTACCATAAAATCCACTCTTATTATTTAGAGTTTGCCAATGCTTTTACCAACCAACATTTAAAATGTCTATTACCCACCTTTTTATCTATAGCTACAACCCTGATGATAATAATAGGCTACTTCCAGTGACTGGAATAGATGTATAAGGGCCTGTTTATACGATAACGATAACGATAAAAAAGCTAAAAAGCGATTGTTAATATAGAAAACAAAAGAAACAAGTTTTTAGACTAGGACGATTCGATAAAGACGTCATAATCATGGAAAAACAATAAAATCGTTGCTACTACTACGATTTTAATGTTTTTCCATGATTATGATGTCATCTGATTTGATTTGTCAAAATATGTTGTTATCGCATAACTGATAAATCGTTATCGAATCGTTATAGTGTAGAAACTTCTCTTATTTCTTTCATTTTCTATATGAACAATTGCTTTTTAGCTTCTTTATCGTTATTGTTGAAGTATAAACAGGCCTTTACTCTACAGTGCGTCAACTGAACCGGGGGGATAAAAAGACCCTTAAAATTTCACCATGTACGTTTTATGACTTGGTTTGGATAAATAATTGGCATTATGAAATAGCAGAGAAGTAATGCTTGTTATTTTATCAAAGACATAAAAACGAAATATGTCCACACTGGGCAAGAAATTGCCAAATTGCATTTGGGGATTTTTACTGTAAAGTAATCATCCTAAAATAAACTAATACTATATAAAAATATTAACAAAAAATAAATAAATCAAATACCTGTACAATTTTCTTGTCTGCCATGCCTGCTACAAAGATGTGTTGTTTGTCTTCATCTGGGTTGAACTTCACACAATAAGGAACTTTATTGTTTGTAAATCTTGAAATACATTCACCTGAAGTAATTAAAATATTTGTAAATTTATGTAAACAGACTTACAAAATATTTATTTATATCAAGGTAAATGAATAACATTAGGGTAATTCCATGTCAAATCAACCAAAAAAAAACCTCAATCTCTCGGAATTTGTTCAAATTTTTGTATGTTGTTGGGACCCATGAAAAACGATCAGAAATGAAAAATTTTTTCTCTAGGCCTCCTAATTAGCGAGATATCTGCTAACGAACTTTTGGCTAATTAGCGATACCTTGCGTGTTTAACCGACCATATCTCGAAAAGCGTGGCACCTACAGAGCTGATTTTGGTGTCATTTTAAAGCTATAGTTGAGTAGCTCTATAACTTTATTAATAAATGCTAAGTCCTCAATTCAAATATAAAAAAGTTATGACAGGTTGTAAAGTTCAAAGTTGAATAAAAAAAATATATATCTTTTT